CGAGCTTGCCGGCTTGTATACGAGTCAAACATCTGCTTTAGCAGTGACATTAATGACAGAGCAAACAGTACTGCAGTATGGTCGTGTACTGGTGGACAGAATACAGTAAACTACAGTAAAATGTATTTTAATGAACTCAGATGATCCCTTCAGACTCTCGCGTCTTGTTGTTGTCACACCTGTCCCACTACGCTGTGCAGCCTGTGTCGCAGGTACTGCACGGTTCAATAGTTTTATGCAGTTTTCATCAGTGTGTGGGACACTGGTGCATTCATATGCTCCACACATGACATCAGTTTTTACATGAACACTGAATCTGACGATGGTGGTAAGCAAAGCTCCACACAGACATTAGAAACCATCAAACTGTTTACACAGTGCACCTGAAATCATCATTGCAACACTACACATGGAAGCTGAACATTAACAGTCCCAGGAGTGTGCCAGTATAAAATATAAACCATAATAATTATGCACATCTCCATTTATAAATACTGTTAGTTCTGTAGTGATAATGGGACTCTCACTGTCCTGCTCCATGATGCTGATCGGGTGCTGCTGTGTGGATTCTGCATTCAGGGTTTTTCCATAAATCCTTTGCTGAGGATTTGATTCTTTGGGCTGAGGAAGGAAAATCTTCTCGGGGTATTGAAGTGTTTCGTCTCTGCAGGTGTGGCGTGTGAGCGCTGCGGTGACGAGCAGTATTCACATGATGAACAGAGGCATAGGTGTGGGAGTAAATCGGGGGGATTTCTCACTCCGGTTGGATCCCTCGATCGTTCCGAGCTCTCTGGTGACCTCCGGGATCGTTCTCACCCTCGGGGTTGTTGCTGTGTTCATAATGTATCTGTTGTTATCTTTTCTGGAGCTTCTGTCTTACCTTCAGCTTCCTGCACAAACCCACTAATAATTGACCCTCTTTAGGCTTTCCTATATTTGGCAGCAGCCTTACCCTCTGCATCTCCTGCACTCTGGCTAACCTGCTTCAGATCTACCGTGGGGTCCTGGGTAAAGAAGCTGAATCAGCCGCTGGCTGTGGTGACCGTTGTTTCTGGGATCCAGTCGGCCATCTTCGTGTCATGGCTGATCTTAAACCCATCATTACCTACAAAGGGCCTCACACACAGTCTGAGATATGCTCCCTTGAGTTCTTCGTAGCCACAAAACCTGCAACACTTTCTTGGGCTTGATTTGTTCTCTGTCTGCTCTCAAAAGCTGCCAGACTTGTATAAAAATGCCACTTTAGTCACCATCAGCATGTTTTCAGCCATCGTAGCCCCACCTTGTCTCACTCTGAAGTACGAGCCACCAGTTGCAGTAGCAACTACAACGTTCTTGGCCTGGCTATCACTGAGTACACTGGGAGGCATTGTGAGCAGAAGGGCACTGCTGTGGTGCAGTCATGAGCCGTTATCAGCTAATGCTAGTTAGTCTGGTTATCCAACTGCACCTGCACACTGCATGGATGCATCACACATATTGCTCATCAGAACTGGAGCCCAGACTCCTCAGGTTGACTGACAATAAACTGATTGGATTTAAAAACATTTTCTCTATATTAAATGTCCCTCTTCATTATGAAGAGGGACATTTAATATAGAGAACAAACAGTTTGTGTATCAGGCTGTAAACATGTTTATTTCTGCTGTATAATTTTAACATGAGAATCTGTGGGGCTGACTCACTGCTGCCTCTGCTGGACGTTGGAGGAACTGCAGGGGAAATCGTTTTTCAGCTGTGACGCTCGCTGTGACTTTCTGATGAACAGAATTTGAAGTATAGTTAAAGTGACAAAGACCAAGACAGTTTGAGTTCATGCATTAAGTGTCTGGGTGCTGTTCTCTCGTCTCCTGCTGCGTGTGCTCTGGTGGTCTTACCTGTAACGATTTCAGTTTCATTATAACTGTGAATAGGTTCAGATGGGCTTTAATTATTGTATTTCCCTTCATAACTCACAGACCACCTAAAATACACTAGGAACACAAACACGTGCAGTAACAGTACAGCTAACAGGACTACAGTACTCACTGTAAGGCAACAAGTAACTGAAGTCTTTATAAAAGGATTTCTGTCAGGAAATAAGCAGGAGACAAAAGAACACAAGAGCCAATCACAGATGAGGAAAGGAAGTGACACGTGAATAAAGCAGGCAACTTCACTGCACATTAATAATATTACATATACTCGTTCTGTTAATCAGTTTCTTCTCTTTGTCCATTAAGCGTGACGTTGCACAGCGTTTTGCTGTGTGGAGCTGGCAGGATTTGCTTCTCTTTTCCACAGTTTTCAGAATAACATCATTAATAGAATAGAATAGAATTCAACTTTATTGTCATTGCACATGTACAGGTACAGGGCAACGAAATGCAGTTTGCATCCATCCAGAAGTGCTTTAGTGATAACGTGACAGTGTAAAATCTGGCACTGAAACATACAATAAACTATCTTTAAATGTAACTTTTCACATTTCAAAGTACTTTATATCCACGTGTTACTGTAATCTAAACTTCCAGCTGATAAACAGAGGCTGAGGCTGGTTCCTCTCCGTAGCAGCAGGTGGCGCTGTTCAGACGTCTGTGCGAGTCTCAAAGAGTTTGCGCCGACTCTTAATATTTCATATTTGGACAAAACTTCTAACATCTGGCTCCACGTGCAGTAATTTAAAGAACTTCAGAGACGTTGTGTATTTGTAGTCACGTCCGTTTCTGTTTCACAGACTTTTCTACAAATAAAAAAGCAGAGCGTGCGTGGATTGAAATGTTGAACTGAAAGTGAAACGCGTCGCTGTCTCAGATCTATAAGCTGTTTGAACACGCAGAGCGTGATTCACTCGAATCCCACACAGGAAATACAGGTTGTGCTGAGAGAGCCGCTGATGGAGAACAGGGATCCGCGTGGGAACCTCAGGAGGCGCAACTGAACTGAGCAAAGACGCTTATTTACATGATTTGCGATGACGTGTGAGTCACACACACGTGCGTGGGGCTGACTAAATAAATATATCGAGTATATGAACGTTTCATCCTGTTTACGAACAGGGTGACATCATCAGTTCTCCCCGTCTCACCCAATGGTCTTTGAGAAGTGGCGACATCTCTGAGAGTCAGGAAACCCTCTCTCCCGGAAAATAAAGCGAGAGTACGTGAATGTAACTTCCGGTCCTTTCTTTCCAAAATAATACCCACACCCCGCGCCTCAGCGTGAGTGTGACAACACTCAGTATTAAATGATTATAACAAAAGTTCAATTAAAAATATTTTGTGATTTTTTTTTCAATAAAGGTATGACGTAATCACCTCGAGTTTATTTCTTTTATATTTATTCTCCTTCGCCCAGACCCTTCATTTTCTTTTTAAAAATGTATCTTAAACCCATCATTACCTACAAAGGGCCTCACACACAGTCTGAGATAGACTCCCTTGAGTCCTAATATGCTACTGCTAAGAGGTACTTTTTCATTTTCAGAAATGTGGAACTTCAAATGTCACTGAGAACCACATATATGCCTATAAAATATGTTTTAAGCTAATTTTTTCCCAACAGAAACAGCTGCTCAGCAGGGCTGGACCGGTAATCTGGCATTTTCCCGGTGACCTGATGGGTCATTTACCCACCGACCCAACACACACTGACAGCATCCATTCGCTCATTTCCAATACGGACACTGCCCAATCAAATCCCTGAACTCCTCCCCTCATGCAACTTGTAAAAGAGAGTTTACCTTGGAGGAAGTGGTGAAAAGGTCAAATTTAGCACCAGCAGAGAAAAAGTGCAGGAGGCGGGACAACAGCAGAGTGAGGAAGAGGTAGAGGAAGGTGAAAATAATGTGTTAAGAACATAGAGAGAGGGACTAAGTGATTCTATTCAGGTGCTGTGGAGAACATCCTCACACAGAACATCACATCCTGGGATTAGTTGTGTTCAGGACCGAAAAGCTCTTCACAGAGTGATGTGTGCTGCAGAGCGCTGCTGCTCACGTCAAAGTAAACTTTATTGTCATCTCTGCTGTACACAGTACAGTATATAGAGACCGGATGAAGAGGTTCGAGTTACATTCAGTGCAAAAAACAAGCAATAAATATAAGAAGAGTAAGAAATGAATACACACTTTAAGACTAAGGTAAAAGGATCAATAACAGCATCTCCCTTCCCTTCAGGACATTTACACCAGGAGATGTTGGTCCAGAGCAGCTCCCATCCCAGTAACTTGTTTTTGCCATCAAGTGGAAGGTTCCACACCATCGGGGCAAAGACAGAGTGAAGAGGAGCTTCTATCCTCAGGCCATTCGAGCCAGGACATGCCCCCACTCCCCTCATAGCATCACCATAAGGGTCTGGAACTGGATTTTATATCATATTCTTGTTACATTGCAGAACTTTCACTGTCATAATTCATATCATGTCTGATTTATTATACGTCACGCGCTGCTACACTGATAATGCTGCTTCACTATGCTTACATTGCTCTGCTCAGTCTGTTACTTTGGTAGTTTTGGTTACTTTTGGTCTACTTTTGCTCTGTCAGCACATTGCTGTGCCAATGTGGCACGAAGCACTTTAACATTCCATTTCCACAATGTACACTTTCAGTTTTTTTATTTAAAGTTTCAGATTTTTGATTTAGATTTTCTTATTGCTTATAATGTTTTGCAGTGTCAGGACACACTTCACTGTGTGTTGTACTTGTATGACAAGTGGTAAATAAAGACTCTTGGAATAATCAAGGATTCACGTAAAATGCATGACCACTTTGACCAGGAGCCACTCCTAACAGCTAAAGTGTGCAACAAAGAAGGAACCCAGGAACAACTGAACCAACCGAGAAACCATTTCAATATCAGGAATCAAAGAAAATGACACATGCACACATCATATTCTCCCCTCATATATATATTTTTTATATCCAAGTCCAGCCCTGCTGCTCAGTGATGTCATGCCTTAATTATTATTTATCTTTTTAAATCCTCGGAGACCTTTATTTTGAAGCAGTTTCCGGTTGGGCCGGCCTCCCGCCGTTAGAGCTTCACTGAGCTCGGGGTCATGCTGCAATCTTAACGGAGTCTGACTGATGAGTGCGGAGCTGTGGTGTCGGCTGCTTCGTTCTTGAGCCCAGCCTCCGTCGGCCGTGTGTTGAGTCGCTTTCCCGGAGTATTTTGTGCGGGGTTGAAGCCGTTCGTCCAGGATGTCTGTGGCCGGGCTGAAGAAGCAGTTCCACAAAGCCAGTCAGGTATGGAGGCGCCCGACAACAGCAGTTCGGATGCGGACCCTGATCTCCGCTTCAACATCAAACCGTGAACGGAATCAGGCTGTAGTTGGTCTGAAAACACGACAAGTCTGAGTTGTTATCGCTTAAAAATCGTGGGTTTCAAAACGTGTTTGCAGGGTGTGGATGGAGCGTTACTTTTCCGCCCAGATAAGTTGTTTTTATCGGAGATAACGTCACACCAAACACTGCTGGGAAAATCTGATGATTTAATCTAATTTCACACACACACAAATGGATTCATCTTAAGCCACAGTTATGGACTTTTTATCAACTTATGTAATCCGGTGAATAATTCGTCTTCATTGTTGTTGCCATACAAGTTCTTGTGAAACGTCAGACTTTGCTGTTTCCACAGTAAAACCAACAGGAAACACTAACAGAGAAGTACACGTAACTGTTTTTATTATGAATGTTTGGAGAGGCTTTAGGTCGACGTCTGGTTTGAATTTATCCCCTGAAAGGAAATCACACACGAAGCCCGTTTTTAGGCTTCATGGCGATGTTTGTGTGACTGAGGCACCAGCCAGATGTTTCGCACCTGCCACAGCTGCGCCGCGCAGTCATTTAAAGGCAGGTGGAGCAGTCTTTATCAGGTGGATTTCACTCCTGGGCTGTACGGTTTGTGTTATCTGGGTGAAGCTCCATTAGACTCAAATACCTTTTAACGTTACATGATAAAAATACCATTGAACCAGTGGAAGGACCTGCTATTCCCACTGCCACCAAAAACACTGGTTTGTGGGCGGCTGTGAGTAACATCTAACATTTGGACAACTTGGAAACAGCTCGCAGACTGTTAGTCTCAGTGAACCTTCATCTTCACCTTTAAATAAGAATTCGCTCCAGTTATCAGTAGATCACAGGCTGGTTTCCATCAGCTTCCATCAGTCTTAGTGAGATTCGCTACACGGCACTGAACCTGCACGTTTAATACCATGATATGTACTGGTGATGCTGGGTGAATCGGCTCAGCTTGCATGATTTGCTCTCTCTGTTGCATTTGATACAGCAGAGCATGTGAGAAGTATTGATTTCCATCAGTATTGGTGACTGTGCTTGTGGCGCACCACAGGGCTCCATTGTGGCCCCTTTGTCATGTTAGCAGCTGTTCCTTGTGTTCATATTTAAATCGCTTTTATGCTGATGATACTCGGATATATCTGCGCTTTAAACCAAGCAGAAGCTCCTTAATAAATTCCTTCAAATGAAACTAAATCAAACCTGATGGTATAAAAGATAGATGCAGCTGCCATTGTCATCTTGGTGTTTTTAAAATGATGTTAAAAGAAGGATTCTGACGGTGGAAGCTGAGAAGGACCAGGATTTGGGAAATGTTCTTAATGTTTGATTCAGTATGTCTGCGCAGCTTCTCGTGGTCGTCTGAAGAACTTGAAAAAAGGTGGCGACTGGGCTGTTTTAAGAGTTCTTTAACAACCACCTCCTAAGGGGACAACCCCAACCTGGGGTTAAATAGCTGGGACTCTCCACCTTTGTTTTTAGAACTGAAGAAGCTTCTTGGATGAGAACTGAAAGAAGTCCGTTTTATTCAGTACGACCCCAAATGAGTCACTGAGTACTGAAGTGTTAGCAGAGGTGATACCTGCAGCGCCGCTTTGGCGCTGCAGGTATCACCCCGTGGTGGAGATCTGTCATCAACGTGAGCGTCTTCCTTTTAAGACGTTTATATACGTTTTAAAGCACTTGGTTCTTGTTTTAACCTTGAGAATGTTATCTCTGCTGTTCTGTGATTTGCCTTGTCAGTGTCCATTCACCGTTGTGTGTGTGTTTCTGTGAATGGTGTAAACTGTTTTTAATCACGTCCCCTGAATAGTTTCCAGGTAGTTTTTTGGTTAAACGTGCTTCAGATCTGCTCTCAGCAGTGGGGCAGTAGAATAAACTGATTTGATTTGTCATAGGAAGCGGGACTTGTGTGTTGGTTTTAGTCTATTTTTATTGTGTGTTATGTCTTCACAATGCATCGTGGCAGCAGGAAGACACAGAGTGTAGCCCGCAGATTGCATCAGAGGCCTTTGCTGCGGTTATCGAGGCAACTTCAGGTTGAACCCTGTTTGTGAAGGTGGGTCACATCTAACTGGGATAAATTGCCACGGTAACTGATGCTGCAGACCCAACCTGCTCCGAAGCACTTACGTTTGAGATGAGCGCTCGATAGGTATGAAGTCAGCACTGACTGACCGATACGATCTCTGGAAACTAGCGTCAGAATTCCTGAAAGTTCCATGTGACCTCAGAGAGTACGGAGCATCAGTAAGATAAAGACTCTGAGTCACAACTTTATTGCTGATTCTATTTTTATGGCCCTGTAAGCGCTGCTATCTGATCCCACGCCTGTTTGTGTTTGTGGACTCACAGTCGCCACTTTTTCTGCTTTTACTTCCTGCTTCAAACAGCAGCAGATTGGGAAACCCTCAGGAGACTTATGGACCTGATAACCACCTACGTGTGACCACTTAGCATGATCGATGATGAAGGGGAAGATGTCCTGGATCCCGTCAAAGTCGCTTAATAGTGCAGCCTTGCAGATGAACCTAAACTAAAACGTTAGGAGCTCGGTGTGTTAGTCTTCTTTAGAGCCGTCGTTTCCAAAATGAACCTCGTGTTTCATTTAGTAAGACCGTAAACTCATCAGCAGGGCGTGTAATGAGCCCAGAGACCATGTGAGCAGCAGGCTCGTCTTCTCATAGACTGTAATCAGATTTCTTTTATAACCAGAGGAGTCGCCCCCTGCTGGCCATTAGAAAAAATGCCGGTTTGAGGTCATCTTTCCGTCTTTGGTTTCCACCTTCGTGGAGAGCTGTGGTCAGCCTCTGTTTGAGGCCTGGCTTTGTTTCAGTCAGGGTGCTGATTTCTTCTCTTAGTTAAACACTCGCACAGTGACAGTGAGGCGTTACAGGCCTGGGCCTGTGTTATTATTATCTTTAGCCAGCTAAAGGCTGCAGCCCTGTGTGACTGTGCGCATGAACAAGAGAAAAATGAATCCATAATAAAGAGCGATCGAACCTTTTATTCATCAGTGATCGCCTGTGCTCAGTATTGCTTTTTTAAAAATTACTTTATGTTTTTATAAATAGAATAAAATAGCCCTTTATTGTCATTGTACGTGTGCAACAAAATTGTGGGTGCTCCACACCAGCTGTGCCGGAATAAAATATAAATAGTAGAACATGTACAAAATAAGAGAAGGGCCCACGTTAGACAAGACTTGGTCTGAATAGAGTCCGTGTATGAGTGACGGGGGTTACTCAGACCGTGGCTCAGATTGGTGAGGTGGGTGGGCAGGCGTGGGGGGGGTTTGCGTATAAGATGAAGTGTTAATCTTAGGTGCTGCAGCCCTTTCACCATCGACTGAGCAGGTGGCGTTGTGTCTGTCTCTGTAAGTCTGCAGATGTGAGTGTGAGTAACAAACAGCTGGCTGATACAGCTCTCACCGTCAGCTCTGGGGTTTGGAGCTGTGAACACACCACACAGAAAACGCACCACATTCTCCAATCGCATTTTTATCTTTACCAAACTTGAACATGTACCCCGTTACTCCTTGAAGGGGGAGTGGGAGTTCCCCTTGAAGCTCTTCTCTGAACTGAGGCCTTTCCGTCATATTTCAGGCTGTTTACAGAACAACACGACTGGGTTTGCATCAGCCGTCAGTGAGGGTGCTCTCTGCCAGTCCAGCCGCCCTCAGAAAAACACAGAAACTGCTCAGCGTCATCAAATGGTCATGAAACCAAGACTTTATTGATATACTGAGGTGTCATGTGGGTACTGGGAAGGTCGTCTTTAAGGGGGAAAGAGTTCAAGAAAATAGATAAAGGCAGGGGTGGGCAACTCCAGGCCTCGAGGGCCGGTGTCCTGCAGGTTTTAGATCCTGGGTCAGCACACCTGAATCAGATGATTAGTTCATTGCCAGGCCTCTGGAGAACTTCAAGACATGTTGAAGAGGTCATTCAGCCATTAAATCAGCTGTGTTGGATCAAGGACACATCTGAAACCTGCAGACACAGGACCTCGAGGCCTGGAGTCGCCCACACCTGCATGTAGGTGTCGAGTGATGATGGTGGATTGCTCTCTCAGGGTTGGAGGACAGGCAGTTTATGTATCGTGGGATCTTGTTCAAGAATGGTGTTAAGGTGGAGCGTGTGGTGACTGGCAGGATGGTGCTGGTCCACCTTAACAGGTTTAATTTACCCATAATTCACTGCACCAGTATCCTGCTTCAGATAGTCGAGCTCTACAGGGCTCTAAGCTGCAGCCACACTGGAAGCGGTTCATTCGCCGTGCGTCGATTTGAGGCTGATGGATGGTCACTAGTGGAGATTCCTGGCTCTGGTTGCCTAGGTAACCAACTAATGCATTTACTACCAGGTCATGTGTTAATCATCGGGCTGCTCTGAGTGTTTGTCTCCACACATGCTGCTGTGCTTCGTGGACAGACACCTCGCTCCGGGCTCGTCTGCTCCGGCCTCGTCTGCTCCGGCCTCGTCTGCTCCGGGCATCTTTGCTTTGTTCAGTCTGACCGTGCTGCCACTCTTCAGACAGAAGAGGCTTCTCCTGCAGCCTTTCCAAACAGACATACTTGTTCAGTCTTTTTCTGCTTGTGCTGTCATGAACTTCAACCTTTAACTGAGGCCCGTCGAGTCTTAGATGGACCTCTTGGGTTTCTCTAAGCGTCTCACGGTCTGAGCTTGGGATGAATTTGCTGGGACATATTTTCCACACCTGAATGCTCCAGACCTGACTCTGCTGTTCAGGTGACTCCACGGAGGCAGCTTATTCAAATCTGACAGAATAAAACTTTTAGGATTGCAGCTGTGATTAACGAACGCTTCCAGATTGAACGCTGCATACCTCGGCCTCCGCCCTGCAGTGTCTCCTGCCTCATGAAGTAGCTTCAGTTATGTGAGTGGTGAGAGCGCTGATGCTGAGCTCTGTTTAATCACGGTGTC